TGACCATGCAGGTAGCATCACCAGCACTGCTGCCTGACCATGCAGGTAGCATCAACCAGCACTGCTCCCTGACCATGCAGGTAGAAACCACCGCACTGCTGCTTTAAACCATGCAGGTAAGCAACCAGTAATGCTGCCTGACCTTTGCAGGTAGCATAAACCGACACGCTGCCTGACCATGCAGGTAGCTCACCAGCACTGCTCCTAACCATGAAGGTAGCACCACCAGAAACCTGCCTGACCACGCAGGTAGCATCACCAGCATGCTGCTGACCATGCAGGTAGATCCCCAGCACTGCTGCTGGACCATGCAGGTAGCCCCACCAACACTGCTGCATGACCATGCAGGTAGCAGTACAGTACTGCTCCCTGACATGCCGGTAGCATCACCACACTGCTGCCTGACCATGCAGGTAGCATCACCAGCACTGCTGCCTGACCATGCAGGTAGCATCCCCACATGCGCCTGACCTTTGCAGGTAGCACCACCAACACTGCTGCTGACCATGCAGTAGCAGACCAGTACTGCTGCCTGCCCAATGCAGGTAGCATCACCAAAAGACTGCTGCCTGACCATGCAGGTAGCATCACCAGCACTGCTGCCTGACCATGCAGGTAGCATCACCAGCACTGCTGCCTGACCATGAAGGTAGCACCACCAGCACTGCTGCCTGACCATGCAGGTAGCATCACCAGCACTGCTGCCTGACCATGCAGGTAGCATCACCAGCACTGCTGCCTGACCATGCAGGTAGCACCACCAGCACTGCTGCCTGCCCAAATGCGGGTTTAGCATCACCAACACTGCTGCCTGACCATGCAGGTAGCACCACCAGTACTGTCCCTGACCATGAAGGTAGCACCACCGCACTGCCGCCTGCCCATGAAGGTACACCACCAGACTGCTGCCTGACCATGCAGGTAGCATCACCAGCACTGCTGCCTGACCATGCAGGTAGCACCACCAGCACTGCTGCCTGACCATGAAGGTAGCACCACCAGCACTGCTGCCTTACCATGCAGGTAGCACCAGCAGCACTGCTGCTTGACCATGCAGGTAGCATCACCAGCACTGCTGCCTGACCATGCAGGTAGCACCACCAGCACTGCTGCTTGACCTTGCAAGGTAAGCATCACCAGCACTGCTGCCTGACATGCAGGTAGCACCACCAGCACCTGCGCCTGACCATGAAGGTAGCACCAGCACTCTGCCTGACCAGCAGGTAGCATCACCAGCACTGCTGCCTGACCATGCAGGTAGCATCCAGTACTGCTCCCTGCCCATGCAGGTAGCATCACCAGCACTGCTGCCTGACCATGCAGGTAGCATCACCAGCACTGCTGCCTGACCATGCAGGTAGCATCACCAGCACTGCTGCCTGACCATGCAGGTAGCAGTACCATACTGCTGCCTGCCCATGCAGGTAGCATCACCACACTGCTGCCTGACATGCAGGAAACCCATCACCTGCACTGCTGCCTGACCATGAAGGTAGACACCAGCACTGCTGCCTGACCATGCGGGTAGCGTCACCCACTGCTGCCTGACCATGCAGGTAGCATCACCACACTGCTGCCTGACCATGCAGGTAGCACCACCAACACTGCTGCTTGGGACCATGCGGGTTTAGCAGTCCCAGTACTGCTGCCTGACCATGCCGGTAGCATCACCAGCACTGCTGCCTGACCATGCAGGTAGCATCACCAGCACTGCTGCCTGACCATGCAGGTAGCATCACCAGCACGCTCCCTGACCATGCAGGTAGCACCACCAACACTGCTGCTTGACCATGCAGGTAGCGTACCAGTACTGCTGCCTGACCATGAAAGGTGCATCACCAGCACTGCTGCCTGACCATGCGGGTTTGCATCACCAGCACTGCTGCCTGACCATGCAGGTGCATCACCAGCACTGCTGCCTCCCATGAAGGAAAGGCACCACCAGCACTGCTGCCTGACCATGCAGGTAGCATCACCAGCACTGCTGCCTGACCATGCAGGTAGCATCACCAGCACTGCTGCCTGACCATGCAGGTAGCACCACCAGCACTGCTGCTTGACCATGCAGGTAGCAGTACCAGTACTGCTGCCTGACCATGCAGGTAGCATCACCAGCACTGCTGCCTGACCATGCAGGTAGCATCACCAGCACTGCTGCCTGACCATGCAGGTAGCATCACCAGCACTGCTGCCTGACCATGAAGGTAGCACCACCAGCACTGCTGCCTGACCATGAAGGTACAGCCAGTACTCTGCCTGACCAAGCAGGTAGCACACAGCACTGCTGCCTGACCATGAAGGTAGCACCACCAGCACTGCTGCCTGACCATGAGGTCATACCAGACTGCTGCCTGACCATGCAGGTAGCAGTCCCAAAGTACTGCTGCCTGACCATGCAGGTAGCATCACCACACTGCTGCCTGACCATGAAGGTAGCACCACCAGCACTGCCTGCCGCCCATGCAGTAGCACCACCAGCACTGCTGCCTGGACCATGCAGGTAGCACACTAGCACTGCTGCCTGCCCTTTGAAGGTGCATCACCAGCACGTCGCCTGACCATGAAGGTAGCATCACCAGCACTGCTGCCTGACCATGAAGGTAGCACCACCAGCACTGCTGCCTGACCATGAAGGTAGCACCACCAGCACTGCTGCCTGACCATGCAGGTAGCATCACCAGCACTGCTGCCTGACCATGCAGGTAGCACCACCAGCACTGCTGCCTGACCATGCAGGTAGCATCACCAGCACTGCTGCCTGACCATGCAGGTAGCATCACCAGCACTGCTGCCTGACCATGCAGGTAGCACACCAGCACTGCTGCCTGACCATGCAGGTAGCACCACCAGCACTGCTGCCTGACCATGAAGGTAGCACCACCAGCACTGCTGCCTGACCATGCAGGTAGCACCACCAGCACTGCTGCCTGACCATGAAGGTAGCACCACCAGCACTGCTGCCTGACCATGCAGGTAGCATCACCAGCACTGCTGCCTGACCATGCGGGTAGCATCCCAGCACGCTGCCTGACCATGCAGGTAGCGCCACCAGCACTGCTGCCTGACCATGCAGGTAGCACCACCAGCACTGCTGCCTGACCATGCAGGTAGCATCACCAGCACTGCTGCCTGACCATGCAGGTAGCACCACCAGCAATGCTTCTGGAACAGTAACACCGTGCAGGTAGCACCACCAGCACTGCTGCCTGACCATGCAGGTAGCACCACCAGCACTGCTGCCTGGCCATGCAGGTAGCACCACCAGCACTGCTGCCTGACCATGCAGGTAGCATCACCAGCACTGCTGCCTGACCATGCAGGTAGCACCACCAGCACTGCTACCTGACCATGCAGGTAGCACCACCAGCACTGCTGCCTGACCATGCAGGTAGCACCACCAGCACTGACCTGACCATGCAGGTAGCATCACCAGCACTGCTGCCTGACCATGCAGGTATCATCACCAGCACTGCTGCCTGACCATGCAGGTAGCATCACCAGCACTGCTGCCTGACCATGAAGGTAGCACCACCAGCAATGTTTCTGGAACAGTAATGAGGTGTGATGCGAGGTAGGGGAGGAGAGCAGCTCTAGTGCCTTGGATCAAGAGCTGTCCTCCATCATCAGGGCACATCTTCTACCTCCGTCCAGACAATATATTAATAACTTCACGTGTTTTTTACACGTTAACTTCTACTCACATTACGTGTGATCAACCAGACTGTTGGTGACCTGAGGTTGATCTTAGAAGTGAGCTGAGGTTGATCTTAGAAGTGAGCTGAGGTTGATCTTAGAAGGGACCTGAGGTTGATCTTAGAAGTGACCTGACGTTGATCTTATAAGTGGCCCGAGGTTGATCTTAGAAGTGACATGAGGTTGATCTTAGAAGTGACATGAGGTTGATCTTAGAAGTGACATGAGGTTGATCTTAGAAGTGACATGAGGTTGATCTTAGAAGTGACATGAGGTTGATCTTAGAAGTGACCTGAGGTTGAACTTAGAAGTGACCTGACGTTGATCTTATAAGTGGCCCGAGGTTGAGCTTAGAAGTGACATGAGGTTGATCTTAGAATTGACATGAGGTTGATCTTAGAAGTGACCTGAGGTTGATCTTAGAAGTGACCTGAGGTTGAACTTAGAAGTGATCTGAGGTTGATCTTAGAAGTGACCTGAGGTTGATCTTAGAAGTGACCTGAGGTTGATCTTAGAAGTAACCTGAGGTCGATCTTAGAAGTGACCTGAGGTTGACCTTAGAAATGGCCTGAGGTTGACCTTAGAAATGACCTCAGGATGACCTTAGAAGTGACCTCAGGTTGACCATAGAAGTGACCTAAGGTTAACCTTGGAAGTGACCTGAGGTTGACCTTAGAAGTGACCTCAGGCTGATCTTAGAAGTGACCTGAGGGTGATCTTAGAAGTGACCTGAGGTTGACCTTAGAAGTGGCCTGAGGGGCGCCATACCAACCTGCTATGACCGCTATGGCAGGGGTGTTGTACTGACCTGCTATGACTGTCATGGTAGGGGTGCTATACTGACCTGCTATGACTGTCATGGCAGGGGTGCTATACTGACCTGCTATGACTGTCATGGCAGGGGTGCTATACTGACCTGCTATGACTGTCATGGCAGGGGTGCTATACTGACCTGCTATGACTGTCATGGCAGGGGTGCTATACTGACCTATTATGACTGCCATGGCAGGGGCGCCATACCAACCTGATATGACCGTCATGGCAGGGGTGCTATACTGACACACTATGACCGTCATAGCAGGGGTGCTATACTGACTACTATGACTGTCATGGCAGGGGTGCTATACTGACCTTCTATGACTGTCATGGCAGGGGTTCTATACTGACCTACTATGTCATGGCAGGGGTTCTATACTGACCTGCTATAATTGTTATGGCAGGGGTGCTACACTGACCTGCTATGACTATCATTGACTGGGTGCCATACCGAACTGCTATGACTATCATGGCAGAAGTACCATACTGACCTGCAATGTCTGGCATGACGGAGGTTCGACCCCGCAGGATGAGTGCCGTGTTCCTGCAGAAGAGGTTCTCGCCCAGTCCTGGCTGCCCACGGTGCCTGAAGGTGCCAGTGTGGGCCAGGTGGTTGACCCATGCCTGAGCCTGGCGACACAGCTGCCAAGGAAGGGGGGCGAGAGCACAGGTGGTTAAGTGTGGCACTTCAGCACCGGTATGTGTGCGTGTGTGTTTACCTGATTGTACTCAGAATCGAAACAAGGGTAAAATTGCTAGATAATATCTTAAAATCAACACTCTGAGTGGCAAAGATGTTGGGATGAACACTCTGGGTGGCAAAGATGTTGGAATGAACACTCTGAGTGGCAAAGATGTTGGGATGAAAACTCTGAGTGGCAAAGATGTTGTAATGAACACTCTGAGTGGCAAAGATGTTGTAATGAACACTCTGAGTGGCAAAGATGTTGGAATGAACACTCTGAGTGGCAAAGATGTTGGGATGAACACTCTGAGTGGCAAAGATGTTGGAATGAACACTCTGAGTGGCAAAGTTGTTGTAATGAACACTCTGAGTGGCAAAGTGTTGTATGAACACTCTGAGTGGCAAAGTTGTTGGAATGAACACTCTGAGTGGCAAAGTTGTTGTAATGAACACTCTGAGTGGCAAAGATGTTGTAATGAACACTCTGAGTGGCAAAGATGTTGGAATGAACACTCTGAGTGGCAAAGTTGTTGTAATGAACACTCTGAGTGGCAAAGATGTTGGAATGAACACTCTGAGTGGCAAAGTTGTTGTAATGAACACTCTGAGTGGCAAAGATGTTGGAATGAACACTCTGAGTGGCAAAGATGTTGGAATGAACACTCTGAGTGGCAAAGATGTTGGAATGAACACTCTGAGTGGCAAAGTTGTTGTAATGAACACTCTGAGTGGCAAAGATGTTGGAATGAACACTCTGAGTGGCAAAGTTGTTGTAATGAACACTCTGAGTGGCAAAGATGGTTGGAATGACACTCTGAGTGGCAAAGATGTTGGAAATGAACACTCTGAGTGGCAAAGATGTTGGAATGAACACTCTGAGTGGCAAAGTTGTTGTAATGAACACTCTGAGTGGCAAAGATGTTGTAATGAACACTCTGAGTGGCAAAGATGTTGGAATGAACACTCTGAGTGGCAAAGATGTTGGGATGAACACTCTGAGTGGCAAAGATGTTGGAATGAACACTCTGAGTGGCAAAGATGTTGGGATGAACACTCTGAGTGGCAAAGATGTTGGAATGAACACTCTGAGTGGCAAAGATGTTGGAATGAACACTCTGAGTGGCAAAGATGTTGGGATGAACACTTTGAGTGGCAAAGATGATGGGATGAACACTCTGAGTGGCAAAGATGTTGGGATGAACACTCTGAGTGGCAAAGATGTTGGGATGAACACTCTGAGTGGCAAAGCAATGACTGAAAAAATGCCAGATATACGAAATAACAGCTCAGTATTGACATCTAAAGTGACAGGAAAATGATGGGTGATTGACGAGTGAGTGACAGTTGATTGACATACCTCACTGGAGAGTCTGAGGGGTGCCGCTGAGTGCCTGGCACGGTAGATGTTGTGAGCTCTGAGACAGGACCTGATGAACTCACTATCACCCCAGCATGGCTCCGGCTCAGCTACCCGAGGCGCTACCACCGGCCGGAGAGACGCTATCTGCTGGTACAATAATGTATGTAACTATCTGCTGGTACAACAATGTATGTAACTATCTGCTGGTACAATAATGTATGTAACTATCTGCTGGTACAAAATGTATGTAAACTATCTGCTGGTACAACAATGTAATGTAACTATATGCTGGTACAACAATGTATGTAACTATATGCTGGTACAATAATGTATGTAACTATCTGCTGGTACAATAATGTATGTAACTATATGCTGGTACAACAATGTATGTAACTATCTGCTGGTACAATAATGTATGTAACTATCTGCTGGTACAACAATGTATGTAACTATCTGCTGGTACAACAATGTATGTAACTATATGCTGGTACAACAATGTATGTAACTATCTGCTGGTACAATAATGTATGTAACTATCTGCTGGTACAATAATGTATGTAACTATATGCTGGTACAACAATGTATGTAACTATATGCTGGTACAACAATGTATGTAACTATATGCTGGTACAACAATGTATGTAACTATCTGCTGGTACAATAATGTATGTAACTATCTGCTGGTACAATAATGTATGTAACTATATGCTGGTACAACAATGTATGTAACTATCTGCTGGTACAACAATGTATGTAACTATCTGCTGGTACAATAATGTAACTATCTGCTGGTACAATAATGTATGTAACTATATGCTGGTACAACAATGTATGTAACTATCTGATGGTACAACAATGTATGTAACTATCTGCTGGTACAACAATGTATGTAACTATCTGCTAGTACAACAATGTATGTAACTATCTGCTGGTACAACAATGTATGTAACTATCTGCTGGTACAACAATGTATGTAATTATCTGCTGGTACAACAATGTATGTAACTATATGCTGGTACAATAATGTGTGTAACTATCTGCTGGTACAATAATGTATGTAACTATATGCTGGTACAACAATGTATGTAACTATCTGCTGGTACAATAATGTATGTAACTATATGCTGGTACAACAATGTATGTAACTATCTGCTGGTACAATAATGTATGTAACTATCTGCTGGTACAATAATGTATGTAACTATATGCTGGTACAACAATGTATGTAACTATATGCTGGTACTACAATGTATGTAACTATATGCTGGTACAATAATGTATGTAACTATCTGCTGGTACAATAATGTATGTAACTATATGCTGGTACAACAATGTATGTAACTATATGCTGGTACAACAATGTATGTAATTATCTGCTGGTACATCAATGTATGTAACTATCTGCTGGTACAATAATGTATGTAACTATATGCTGGTACAATAATGTATGTAACTATCTGCTGGTACAATAATGTATGTAACTATCTGCTGGTACAATAATGTATGTAACTATCTGCTGGTACAATAATGTATGTAACTATCTGCTGGTACAATAATGTATGTAACTATATGCTGGTACAACAATGTATGTAACTATATGCTGGTACAACAATGTATGTAACTATATGCTGGTACAATAATGTATGTAACTATATGCTGGTACAATAATGTAACTATATGCTGGTACAATAATGTATGTAACTATCTGCTGGTACAATAATCTACGTAACTATCTGCTGGTACAACAATGTATGCAACTATCTGCTGGTACAGTAATGTATGTAGCTATCTGCTGGTACAATAATGTATGTAACTATCTGCTGGAACAATAATGTATGTAACTATCTGCTGGTACAACAATGTAACTATCCGCTGGTACAACAATGGATGTAACTATCTGCTGGTACAACAATGTATGTAACTATCTGTTGGTACAACAATGTATGTAACTATCTGCTGGTACAACTATGTAACTATCTGCTGGTACAATAATGTATGTAACTATCTGTTGGTACAACAATGTATGTAATTATCTGCTGGTGCAACAATGTATGTAACTATCTGCTGGTACAACAATGTATGTAACTATCTGTTGGTACAACAATGTATGTAACTATCTGCTGGTGCAACAATGTATGTAACTATCTGCTGGTACAATAATGTATGTAACTATCTGCTGGTACAACAATGTATGTAACTATCTGTTGGTACAACAATGTATGTAACTATCTGCTGGTATAACAATGTATGTAACTATCCGCGGGTACAATAATGTATGTAACTACCTGCTGGTACAATAATGTATGTAACTACCTGCTGGTACAACAATGTATGTAACTACATGCTGGTACAATAATGTAACTACCTGCTGGTACAAAAATGTATGTAACTATCTGCTGGAACAACGATGTATGTAACTATCTGCTGGTACAACAATGTATGTAACTATCTGCTGGTACAATAATGTAACTACCTGCTGGTGCAACAATGTAGGTAACTATCTGCTGGTACAACAATGTATGTAACTATCTGCTGGTACAATAATGTAGTAACACTGCTGGACAAAATGTATGTAACCATCTGCTGGAACAACGATGTATGTAACTATCTGCTGGTACAACAATGTGTGTAACTATCTGCTGGTACAACAATGTGTGTAACTATCTGCTGGTACAACAATGTATGTAACTACCTGCTGGTACAACAATGTATGTAACTATCTGCTGGTACAATAATGTATGTAACTATCTGCTGGTACAACAATGTATGTAACTATCTGCCGGTACAACAATGTATGTAACTATTTGCTGGTACAACAATGTATGTAACTATCTGCTGGTACAATAATGTATGTAACTATCTGCTGGTACAACAATGTATGTAACTATCTGCTGGTACAACAATGTATGTAACTATCTGCTGGTACAACAATATGTGTAATTATCTGCTGGTACAACAATGTATGTAACTATCTGCTGGTACAACAATGTATGTAACCACCTGCTGGTACAACAGTGTATGTAACTATTTGCTGGCACAACAATGTATGTAACTATCTGCTGGTACAATAATGTATGTAACTATCTGATGGTACAATAATGTATCTAACTATCTGCTGGTACAACAAAGTATGTAACTATCTGCTGGTACAACAATGTATGTAGCTATCTGCTGGTACAACAATGTATGTAACTATCTGCTGGTACAACAAAGTATTTAACTATCTGCTGGTACAATAATGTATGTAACTATCTGCTGGTACAAAAATGTAACTATCTGCTGGTACGACAATGTATGTAACTATCTGCTGGTACAACCATGTATGAAACTATCTGGTGGTAGAATAATGTATGTAACTATCTGCTGGTACAACAATGTATGTAACTATCTGCTGGTACAACAATGTATGTAACTATCTGCTGGTACAACAATGTATGTAACTATCTGCGGGTACAACAATGTATGTAACTATCTGCTGGTACAACACTGTATATAACTATCTGCTGGCACAACAATGTATGTAACTATCTACTGGTACAACAATGTATGTAACTATCTGCTGGTACAACAATGTATGTAACTATCTGCTGGTACAACAATGTAACAATCTGCTGTTACAACAATGTAACTACCTGCTGGTACAATAATGTAACTACTTGCTGGTACAACAATGTATGTAACTATCTGCTGGTACAACAATGTAACTACCTGCTGGTACAATAATGTAACTACTTGCTGGTACAGTAATGTAACTACTTGCTGGTACAACAATGTACGTAACTATCTGCTGGTACAACAATGTAACTACCTGCTGGTACAATATTGTAACTACCTGCTGGTACAATAATGTAACTACTTGCTGGTACAACAATGTATGTAACTATCTGCTGGTACAACAATGTATGTAACTACCTGCTGGTACAACAATGTATGTAACTATCTGCTGGTACAACAATGTATGTAACTATCTGCTGGTACAACAATGTATGTAACTACCTGCTGGTACAACAATGTAACTATCTGCTGGTACAACAATGTATGTAACTATCTGCTGGTACAACAATGTATGTAACTACCTGCTGGTACAATAATGTAACTATCTGCTGGTACAACAATGTATGTAACTATCTGCTGGTACAACAATGTATGTAACTATCTGCTGGTACAACAATGTATGTAACTATCTGCTGGTACACCAATGTATGTAACTACCTGCTGGTACAACAATGTAACTATCTGCTGGTACAACAATGTATGTAAACTATCTGCTGGGTACAACAATGTATGTAACTATTGCTGGTACAACAATTGTGTAACTATCTGCTGGTACAACAATGTATGTAACTATCTGCTGGTACAACAATGTATGTAACTATCTGCTGGTACAACAATGTATGTAACTATCTGCTGGTTCAACAATGTGTGTAACTATCTGCTGGTACAACAATGTATGTAACTATCTGCTGGTACAACAATGTATGTAACTATCTGCTGGTACAATAATGTATGTAACTACCTGCTCGTACAACAATGTATGTAACTATCTGCTGGTACAACAATGTAACTATCTGCTGGTACAACAATGTATGTAACTATCTGCTGGTACAACAATGTATGTAACTATCTGCTGGTACAATAATGTATGTAACTACCTGCTCGTACAACAATGTATGTAACTACCTGCTGGTACAACAATGTAACTATCTGCTGGTACAACAATGTATGTAACTATCTGCTGGTACAACAATGTATATAAATATCTGCTGGCACAACTATGTATGTAACTATCTGCTGGTACAACAATGTATATAACTATCTGCTGGTACAACAATATATGTAACTATCTGCTGGTACAACAATGTATATAACTATCTGCTGGCACAACAATGTATGTAACTATCTGCAGGTACAACAATGTATGTAACTATCTGCAGGTACAACAATGTATGTAACTATCTGCTGGTACAACAATGTATGTAACTATCTGCTGGTACAACAATATATGTAACTATCTGCTGGCACAACAATATATGTAACTATCTGCTGGTACAACAATGTATGTAACTATCTGCTGGCACAACAATATATGTAACTATCTGCTGGTACAACAATGTATGTAACTATCTGCTGGTACAACTATGTAT